ACAATAAGGCCTAAAATGAGCATTAAAAACAGTGTTCAAACATACGGTTCAAAAGTTTATATTTTTAAAAAAGAGTATATTTTGCTCACCAAGGCTGCACTTATTTGATCAAAAATACAATAAAAACAGTAATATTGTGAAATTTTATTACTATTCAAGTTTTCTATTGTAATATATTGTAAATTTTTCTGTGATCAAAGCTGAATTTTCAGCATCCTTACTGTCACATTAGTGTCAAATGATGCTTCAGAAATTATTCTAATATTTTCAAAAATATTCTAATTATCAATGTTGAAAACAGTTGTGCTGCTTCATATTTTTGTGGAAACAGATACATTTTATTTTCAGGATTCTTTGATAAATATAAAGTAAAAAAAACAGCATTTATTTGAAATAGAATCTTTTGTAACATTATAAATGACTTTACTGTCACTTTCGATCAATTTAATGGATCCTTGCTGAATAAAAGAATGAATATCTTTCTTACTGTGTTCTTGCTTTCCTCTGGCAGTAACAAACATCAGTACTCGAGGGCGTGATTGAGTTCCCTCAAATGTCTGTGTCATTAAAGCAGATGTTATTATTCAGTTTCTCACTACAGTAATGAGATTATTTTGCTATGGGGGAAAATGTGTTTAATTGTCATGAAAATAATGTTGCAATACAAAAACACATAATGGATCAAATATTATTGTCTCAAAACATGATTCTGACATGAATATGTTCATACTGTATATTTTGCACGCCATCAGGATTGACAAACGAACTGATAACCGACGCCAGAGAGGCAGAAGAGCAGAGGAGAAAAGTAAGGAGCTTGTAATAGTCTCCTCTCGCTTGGCTGCCCAAACAGGAGCTGACAGTGTTAAGGTGACTAGGTTCAGACGGGGTGAATTATTAAAAACCACAGCAATGGCAGGGGAAGGAAAAGGGCAGCGAATATCACTGTCAGCCCAACACGGATTATTGTGTGTACGCCAGCATGTTCAGAAATTGCACAAATAACTGCTCTGCGCCCCCGTCCCTCAGAGCTTGACATGAATTAGCATTTTTCCCGTGACTGTGTGTGTGTGTGTGTGTGTGTTCATGTAGCGAGTGTTGGCTTTTGGTCCACAGAGAGCATATGGCAACTGTAACGACCACATGTCACCGCCCGGAACATCTGATAACCTCTCGTTATGAGGCAAAACCTACTTCATAGCTCATCTTACATCATCCTTCAGGAGAAAAATAACATTTTTTATGCATGCAATCAACCCACATCAATGCAGTAAGACTGAAATATTTGCTTCCAACCAATTATCAACACAAGCAGTTGCAAGAACACAACATTAATGCTGAATTGTGCCATTTCTACACCACAGCTGAACTGCAAACATTACTAGATTTTTACATAGACTGAAAGAAATGGTGCAGGATTGCACTTAGAAATCACTAGTAAATTTCACAAAAAAGGCAAGTAACACTGAATTAAACATGACATTTTGAAATAGTATTTTCTTGTAAAATGTACTTCAATAATCTTTATTTACAACTTTGAAAAATGCAAATGTAAAGATTTTTTTTTTGCCTGGAAAAGTAAGAACAAACCTCTCTTCAACAAAATTTGATCAAATCATTCATGTCTGTACCACGAAGAGCGGTTGCACTTAATGTGTAAATATGCAATTTTATGAGTTTGTTCAGATCTGTAGTGCAAGTATGTGCACTAGTAATAGTGATTTTTAACTTGATATTTTGCCTAAAAGCACTGTTACATCCTAAAGCTGAAAAAAAAACAATGAGATAAAATGTAAAAAATAGTAAACAGTAAAAATGAGCAAAGTACACATCTAGTATAAACTACTTTTCAAAAGCTTGGGGTCTGTAAGATTCGTTTAATGTTTTTGGAAGAAGTCTCTTATGCTCACATGTGTTCATTTGATTCAAAATATAATAAAATCTGTAATATTGTGATATATTTTTACAATTTCAACTTTGAAAAATGCAAATGTAAAGATTTTTTTTTTGCCTGGAAAAGTAAGAACAAACCTCTCTTCAACAAAATTTGATCAAATCATTCATGTCTGTACCACGAAGAGCGGTTGCACTTAATGTGTAAATATGCAATTTTATGAGTTTGTTCAGATCTGTAGTGCAAGTATGTGCACTAGTAATAGTGATTTTTAACTTGATATTTTGCCTAAAAGCACTGTTACATCCTAAAGTTGAAAAAAAAAACAATAAGATAAAATGATGCCAAAGACTAGTAAATAGTAAACAATAAGTACACATCTAGTATAAACTACTTTTCAAAAGCTTGGGGTCTGTAAGATTTGTTTAATGTTTTTGGAAGAAGTCTCTTATGCTCACATGTGTTCATTTGATTCAAAATATAATAAAATCAGTAATATTGTGATATATTTTTACAATTTAAAAAAAGCTTTCTTCTATTTGAATATATTGTAAAATATAATTTATTCTTGTGATCAAAGCTGAATTTTCAGCATCATTCCTCCAGTCTTCAGTGTCACATGATCTTCAGATATCATTCTAATATGCTGATTTGCTGCTCAAGAAACATTTCTGATTATTATCAGTGTTAAAAACAGTTGAGCTGCTTCATATTTTTGTGGAAACCATGACACATTTTATTTTTCATGATTCTTTGATGAATAGAAAGTTCAAAAGAACAGCATTTATTTGAAAAAAAAATATTTTGTAACATTATAAATGTCTTTATGGTAACTTTTGAACAATTTAATGCATCTTTGCTCAATAAAATAAAAATCTGACCCCAAAACATTTGAAGAGTAGTGTATATGCCACTGTAGATGTGACTTCTGTGCCATTTTTGCAGTCTAAAGACATCTTTAGAATGAGAGTCAGAGTTCTAGTCATCTGTTGAGCTCGGCTGAATCCTGGCGGTGTGATTGGTAATGAATGGACCCCCTGCGTAGAGCATGCATGTGGTTACGTGAGGACATTTGCTGTTGGAGATGAGCGGATTGACCCTCACAAAATGGAGGCTGATTGGAGAGCAGATGCTTTGCAAGATTATCGCTCTCATCAATCGTGTTGAGAGCACAAATCCAATTCCATCTCGGTTCTCTATTTTACTCTCATTTCTCTCCCTTACAGCTGAGCGATGATGTACCGTATGACAGGGTTTCATCTTCACTAGGGTTTTGGTCAATTTGGCTGCTTGAGTAGGGAAGACCAGAGGGGAATTATAATACCAGATAGTTAAAAACACGCGTTAGACGTCATGCACATGCTCAATAGAGACTCTTTGAAAAAAAATAACTGAATCAGAGTTGTAAACTAAAACTATTAAAAATATTTTTTGGTTATTGAAATAAAGCTGAAATAATACAAAATATAAGATGAAAAAAACTTAAAATGTATACTGTGCATATATATATATATATATATATATATATATATATATATATATACATATATATATACAGTATATATTTGTGTTGTA